AAAATAGGTGCTGATCATGCTTCCAGAGTACATGGAGGTAAGAATGATACTGGCTGTCAATATTTATAGCAATTGGTATGTAGGTATAAAATAGGCCATGTTTCATCAGTCGAATATTATGGTGTGATGAATGACAGACCAATTGCTCCAACGACTAGATAAAAAAAATACTAAGATATCAGATATTATAGATTTATACAATTACTAACCATGCTTTTTCGCTTTCACCACATTCACAGTGAAATCTTTATCATCATTACCAGAGATATTTACTTCATAGCTAGATGATTCAAAGTCAGACTCAGACACGGATGAAGAAAATGAGAACTCAGATGCGGTATTATTAAAAATTAGTTTTTTTCTAGCATTGTATTTTTTTTTAACCTCAGATGGTATATGATTTCTTCGAGAAATATTTGGGTTTGCTATCAAGTTTATAATATCCTGCTGAATCTCAGGTTTTACTATTTTTAGCAATTGACAGAGAGAGATCTGAATTTTTTTATTTGACACATGTTTAATAATGTGAGATATCACACTATTACCATTTTGAGATTTTATTATTTTCTAATGTAGCTTTATTCATTGTCAATATCGTGTAGTAATATGTACTTTGGTACTAGCTTCACTATTATTTATTATATTAATATATGATAAAATTCAGAATAAATTATAATTATTTTTCAGTTATAATATACATCATTAAACATATTTAACATGTTCATCAATACACTCATAGAAGGAAAAATCTCAGTAAAAGCATTAATTAATACATCGTCAAAGTTTAATACCATTAGTGAGAGCTTGTTCGATAAGCTTAAAGAAGATTATGGAATAGGTGATCCTGTTGAGAATCTCTATAGAGATGTAATAGGTGAAATAAAATGTTTAGATTTGCAATTTTGCTATAAAGAAAAGTGGTAAAGTTTAGATAGTACCGAAGTAATAGACTTTCAAATTCACAAAAATCTATCATTTGATTTGGTATTAGGGAGAGATTGGTTATGGATGCGTGAAGCAAAAATAAGCTTTGGATATTCTCCCAAAACCTGTATCCGCCATGCTAAAATTATAATTGATGGTATGAGTATCCCATTAATTGAAGAAAATAGTAATAAAGCCAGCTCTAGTAAAAATAACTTATCTCATTCTGAAACAGAAATCGATAAACCTAGAAAAGTTTATATAGAGACTAATTTATCTAGTTCTGATTCAGAATTTATGGGTTCAGATTGTTATGATCTTGATCTAAAAAAACCCTGAAAGAAACACATCCATATTACAAAGAAAAAGATTATCTCTCCTAGCCGAAAACATCGTAGAAATAAGCCAATTAGAACTAAGTAATCTTTAATCCAGAAAATTATTATGGGTGGAATCAACATAGAAGTATTTCAGAGAAATGACATATTATTGCGCTACATTACTGCATCCTGGTGACATGATGTCCTGCCTCAGCAACTAGAAAAAATAAACACTGCACCACATTACTGCACAAAGTGGACTGATCATTGAATAAATATTTAAACCTGCCCACATCGGGCTTAGTGACATGTGTTTGTTAGAATTATTTCGCATACATATAAAATTTATCTGTATTACATTGCAAGGCTTATCGTTATGCATAACTTATTTGTGAGATAGATCACAAGTAGAAATTGCTATTTTTCATTTTTCTGGAATTAGTACTTAAACCAAAGTCGGTCAATTAACTTATGCCATATATCGATATGTTCTGAATTTATTTGTGGGTGAGGGCGCAATTGCTACATATTATTGACCACGTTATATTTTTTCTGTTAACGTATAACAATGAAAAAATATCCTTATAACATACTCATACGTAAAGATAAACAAAATTATATTAAAAAGTGGCATATCTTTAGAGGATGGAAGCATGGGTGTAAAGTTTGTGACGAATGCAATCACCATTCTCACCTATATTGCAAAACATACAAAAAAGTAGCGAATGGAATATATAAGCAGTGTGAATACGATAATGTGTTAGAATAAATTTCGCATATGTATAAATTTATCTGTATCACCTTCGTTATGCATAGCTTATTTGTGGGACAGGGCACAATCTCAAAGTGCCATTTTTCATTTTTCAACGGGCGCCCTGGCTGAAATTAGTACACTAACCAAAGTCGGTCAATTAACTCATGCCACATATCGATATCAAATATTTTTAACTTCGTGCATATCTATCAGTTAAACATTGACCCTATATGTTTATTTCAGTGGCTAAAATTCCGATTCAGTTAATTAACACATATATCGATATGTAAAAATCTTTCTGATAAAAGCATTCAGCAATAACATGTATAATCGTGATTTATATATTTTGCTTAAAAATTTTGCCTATTCCACACATTGTAGCTATTGTAGCTATTGATATTGCATTCATTTACATTGACCCAATGTATTCTCTCTGAAGCATGTTTAATGTTTTAATGAAATTGTTGTTTTTTAAAAAAGCGATCATGGATGTGGTATTCAAAAGCAGGCCGTAAGTGTCGAAATAATAGTCTTAGAAAAATTCGAGTCAATACTGTATCACATTACATAAATGACATAAAAATATATAAAATTTTTTGCAGATAATCATCGAAATTTCCAAATACAGGGTCGACTTCATATTGTTATGACGGAAACAATGATATTATTACTGTATTCAAAATCACATGTATGATCAGAGATTACGATTAAAAAATGCACACATAACCTGTTGTATGACAATTTGATTGTTTGTAAAAGCTATAAAATGGTTGAATGTATGACTATTTCTTACTAAAAAAATTTTTTCGTTCTATCCAAAAACTAAATACGTGAATATGTCTACTTCTACCGGAAAAACAATTTCACTTCTTACAATCAATGAAGTTGAAGAATATACAACGGAGGTTCTGATAAAATTTTTAGACTGAAAAATAGGACTGGATGATAATGATTTCAAAATTCTTCGTGAACAAAAAGTTAATGGTGAAATATTCCTCAGCTTGAACGTCGATGAACTTATGCAAGATAGTTTAAAAAGAGGACCAGCTAAAAAGATTGTTGGATTGATTGAAAAAATCAAGGGCGAAAGACAGGGTAAGTAGTACCACGACTGCATTCGAAGACACAAAGTGTCGAGTCTCTGACTCATATTCCAAACCTATACTGCT